GAGCAATGAACGACGAGTGATTATCGAACAACTGGAACATAACTTACTTGAAACGATACTACTGCTAAGGTACGACCCCATTCATTTCTTTTCTTTACATATTGGACTAGCACTTGTAGGTAACGATCAAGAAATGATACAACTTTTAGATTTGAAAGCAATCGTTGCACTCTTTTTCCCTTGAACCGGTTTTGTCCCAAATAGGTTATCCGACAGGGTTTTTAACGAGGAAACATCGGATCGTGCCAACTTAGAATTGAAGACCAGCTATGAACCGGTGTCAAAGATCACGTCAATAGTATCCGAGGCTTCTCTAAAGTTCGGCCTCAAATACTGGTGGTATCACCCTCGGACAATGATTTTAGCAAGGAAAGAAACTTTGTGCTCGAACAGTCTAGGCTCGGTGGATAGGATTTACTCTAAGGGCCAAACACTCAAATGAGTTGTTCCCTTAAGACATCGAGCCCAAGGGCCACCTCTATTCGGGTCCAAGGGATCACTCTCACTCGGGGACTGTCATCCAAAGACAGACTCGAACGACATGGGCTATCGAAGCCCGGGGGCGCAAAACCAATTAGGCAGTGCCCGAACTTTAAAGGCTACTACCATCCCCATTCGGGGACTGTTATCTTGGGCAAGCCCAGATGACTTGGTTCGAAGGGATCACTCTCACTCGGGAACTGTCGTCCAAAGATAGACTCGGACGGCCTGGGCTATCGAAGTCGGGAGCGCAAAACCTATTAGGCAGTGCCTGAACTGTAAAACTTATGGATATCCCCATTCAGGGACTGTTATCTTGAGCAAGCCCGGATGACTCGGGGTAATAAGCCCATTGGGCAACACCCAAAATTTAAAGGCTACAGTCATCCTAGAACGGATCGGAGACATCTGAGACTCGTAACCAAAATATAAGGCCTTCAAAATTGCTTAATCGGTTCAAAGGCTACCTTCGGCAAAATTATAACCTAAAAAATCCTAAGTAAATACTTCAGGGAAAGCTTCCGATCATACCGAGCTACCACGTATCTTGAGCAAAATAATATCGAGAACTATCCTTGATCGAACCTCCGAACAAGACCTAATTATTATGTGCTAGGGCATTCAAAATCTTTGCAATCGTAAACAAAAAAGCAAAAAGCTTGAAATTTGTCGAAGGAAAAAAGCTTGTATATATATTAAAAGATCTTGACAAAGGCCAAACGACCTCAACAAAAAATACAAAAGTATAAAACATCTACAAAACACCTAAGCAGCCTGGCCGCCTCATCACCAGGACCATCAGGGTCCTTTCCGGCCCCGGATCAATTAGAACCCTCGGAGTCTCCCTCGTCCTCGGGATATGCCAACTTCTTGGCCTCGACCTTGAGCTCCTTAGTATTTTTTTTATCTTGCTCGATAAATCAAAACCTCGGGCATGTACCTCCTCGAGGGCCTCCCTTCAGGACTGCCACTTCCCATATCCAACGATATCTTTCAGGCGGTCCTAGGCTGCCTCAGCATCAACATTCTAGTGGGCCACCATCTCATCGATATCGGCCCTGGTTATTTTAGCCACTGACTTGACTACTTTAAGCTCTTTGGTGAGGGTATCCCAATCGGCAACAGCCGAGCCCAGTTGAGACTCGAGCTACTTGATTTTTTGGGACCGGGCCTCAACTTTCTCCCTTATCGCTCGAACATGAGCCTGCCTCCGAGGACGAACATTTATTCGGTACCTCTAAGTCACCTAACCCAGTGGCATCCTCCATGGCGGTGGAATCCACGCCGTCAAAAAAGTAGCGAAGGGGATCGTCCGCCCCGTAGGCCCCCTTGTTGGGTCGTTCTTTCACTATTTGGGCCTCGTTGTACATAGACTCGATAAACGAGGGTGACTCGGTGATGTCCACCATTCCAAGTGCCTCCTTCGGGGCACTACCCTTATCCCGGGAAGCCTCAGCCCCAGCCTCCTCATCGACCTCCCTAGCCTGAGGAAGATCGGCCTCGCGGGTCTCTAGTTCAACGGCCCCCTTATCTCCGAGGGGTGATGGCTCACTGGCCACAAAAGGCTCTTCCCCTTTGGACTTGTCCCTAAGACGATAGAGCAAGTCCGGAGCTGGTGCTCGGGAGCTGGTGTTTTACTTTGGCTTGCGCACCAGCTGATTGCCCTGGAGCAGGAGACTCAACAGGTAAGTCCTCATCCCCGACCGGAGGCTAAGCTCGACGTTCTTAGGCAAACCTACAAAATAAAGTAAAGGAAATAAAGACGCGATGTTAGAAGAAAAAGTTCAATACGACTTGTTCGGGAAAAGAACCTTACCATGGGAACAGGCCTCCCAACGGCCTTTAGAAAGTTTGTGCCATGAGCGCTCGGAGTATGGCATCTGTGATATAATGCCCTCGACCCACTCCTTAAGCCGAGGGATAGCATTCGAAACTCGAGCAAGGGCTGTAACATAACAAGAACCGATAAGAAAAGGGAAGATAAGGCATAAAATCGACGCTTAAAGGGAATACTTACGTGATACGTTCCACCTTTCGGAAAACGGCCTCCACTGGGCAGGTATCAGGTCGGCGGTCCTCACCCAAAAAAAACATCCTTGCCAACCCCGATCCAGGTCNTCCACTCGGTAGGTATCAAGTCGGTAGTCTTCACCTGAACAAAGCATCATTGCCAACCCCGATCCCGATCCTCATCGATGCTTGAAAATGGGGCTTTGCTGGCCTAACATACAAGCCTTACCAGTCCCCCCGGAAGATTCGGGGAATGTATAAGTAGAGTAGATGATCGATGGTGAACGAGCACCCATCGATTTTGTTCACAAAGAATCGGAGGAGGATCACGATCCTCCATAGTGATGGATGAATTTGGCCAAGGCATATGTTATACCTCATGTAGAAGTCTAAGATGATTGGGCCCAATGTAAAGGGATAAGTGTAAACACTTAGATATCCCTCGACATGGGTGGTAATAGCCTCTTCGGAGTTTGGAACCACTATGTCTTTGTCAGCCCAGTTGTAGTCTTTTTGGACCGTGGGGAGGACCTTTTCGGTAATTGAGCAGATGTATCTCGAGGCCTCCTCACGCCGACCCTATATAGAAGAAGGCTTCTCAACCTTGAAGTCACTGATGTCCGAACAACCACCAGGAATGAACATCTTCAAGGGGGCTCTTCCGCCGGTTCATCTACAACCGTATTGGGGACGGTCTCCTTGACCTCAGTGGTCGGTCGCGAGAAAGAAGGAGCATTCTTCTGCAGAACAGATTTTGAGGTTTTTGCCATTGTTATAAAAGAAAACGCTTGGAAAAGATGGAGAAAGATTGAAAGCTGAAAGATCAGACTTGTTGGCTTGAATAAGAGATGAGTAAAAGTTTTTGCATAGTACTAAAGAACTTTGAGTAACGGAGGTAAAAACACTAGAGAGTATTGAAATCCTGAAGGTACGAATGTAGAATATTTGGTGTAAAGTGAAAAATGGACAGAGGAGGGGGTATTTATAGGAGTTCAGTGACGTTTCGCATCCAGGGACAGCCGACCGGCGGCTGACTTGCATTTAACGTCGTTATGACATGACTGACGAGATGTTTTGGGTGTTTTATCATTTTTGCCACAATGTGTCGAAGTAAGAATCGGGAGCTCATGTCATTTCTCATCATTTACTCTCCGAGAAATGAGGAGACTATTTGTATACGGGTAAAATCGGGCTCATGGTACACCCCAGTCTTCGACAAAATAAGCCAAGCTCGGGACATGATGACAGGGGACCGAAATCAAGGCAAAAGTCTCATTGAGTCAGAATCCGGGGGCATGATGCCCGCCCTCGAGAATATCGGGGTCATGGTTCAGAATTGGTCATAGCCTTGAACGACTTCGAAGAACATTGTCGGGCAATCAAGTACGATCAACGGAAGGCCGTTATATCCTTGACCGGCCGGATATCACGGTGGGGATCTCGGCACGTATCAATGAAGAACTGACAATCAGTTAATCAGAGGATTTTTTTACCTTTTATAAAGTTGTACCTAGAGTAGGATTTCCCTACTATATAAAGAGGGTCTGATAATTCATGACATCCATGGTAACAATTGATACAAAGCGATAAATTAAGTCAAATTGAACAAATAAAGATAAAATAGATTCAAACCACACTAGGAGGATAGTTCCAGCCTTAGTAAAATATTCACCCTCGATCTGGGCTGGCTATGACCAGCACTGATGAACAAGAGAAAGAATTAATAACAGAAAAAATAATAATATATGGCTTTGGAATGCGTAATTAATTTGCGTGTCCTTAAAACCACTTACAAATTTAATTGTTATCCGATTTTGAGGGTAAACGGTAAGTCCTATAGAGTGGTTGTTAGGCCGACTATATTTTATGGGACAGAGTGTTGGTCAGTCAAGAGTTCTCATGTCTAGAAGTTGAAAGTATCAAAAATGAGGATGCTGAGATGGATGCGTGGGCATAGTAGGAGAGATAAAATTAGGAATAAGGATATTCGGGAAGAGGTGGGAGTGGCCTCCGTGGTGGATAAGATGCGGGAAGCGAGACTGAGATAGTTCGGGCATATGAAGAGAATATCATGCCCCAATGAGAAAATGTGAGAGGTTGGTCGCAGTGGATCTGAGAAAAGGTAGAGATAGACCAAAGATTTATTGGGGAGAGGTGATGTAACGAACAGAACAAGAAGAAAAGGAATAAAAGTTTAACAAGGAAAAGGATAAAATTTTGGTAATTCCAATGATAGTAAATTCTGTTACAACCCAGAATCTAAATAGGCAACGTTCCTATTGAACAACTGTCCTTAATTTCTACAGACCAAGAACCTTCTAGAATAAAGCCACGTGGCTATTAATTGCAAACCTGTCCCTAGGGACTTAATTGAAATAAACTAAACTTACAGACCAGAATAGAGATACCATGACTCTAATAAAAATAGACGACCAACTGCTCACTTCTATTTCCTATATTTGACTGCTTGTTCGTTACAATTCCTTCCTTCTTCAAAGAACCTTGATCCTTCAAGGTTTAAATTCTGGAAATTGCGACTTCAGAAAATTATAATCCTCCCAAGTAGCTTCTTCGGGAGATAAATTTGCCCACTGGACCAACACTTTGGCAGCAGCTCGATTTCCTTTCTTTACCATTCTATGTTCCAGGATTGCCACTGGTTCAACTCTGATTTGGCCATTATCGGAACAATATGGAGGATCAATGGATGGTACTATTCTATCGCCCACCTTCTTTTTAAGCTGAGAGACATGGAAGACGGGATGGATACGTGATCCTGGTGGCAATTCTAGTTCGTATGCAACAGCCCCAATTTTTCGAATCACCTTATATGGTCCATAGAACTTTGCTGCAAGTTTCAAACTTTTCCGCACAGCTATAGATATTTGACGGTATGGTTGAAGCTTTAAATACACCATATCCCCAACTTCAAAACTCCTTTCGCTCCTTTTTGAATCAGCTTGCTGCTTCATCCTTGATTGAGCCTTCAACAGATTCTCCCTTAAGGCCTTTACCATCAACTGGCGATTCTTCAACATTTGATCCACAGATTCGACCTTGGATTGGCAAATCAATTCAAATGTGGGCAATGGTGGATCATACCCATATAGTGCCTTAAATGGTGTCATACCAATCGTTGAATGGAAATTGGTGTTATACCAAAATTCGGCTAAAGGCAGCCATTTACTCCAATCTGTTGGTTTGTGGCCGGTCATACAACGGAGGTAAGTCTCTAAGCACCTATTCAACCTCTCAGATTGACCATCCGACTGAGGATGATAGGCACTGCTGAACCTCAATTTCTCCTGCAACTGACTGAATAATTCCTTCCAAAAGAGACTAGAAAAGAGAGGATCTCTGTCGGACACAATTGAACAAGGAACCCCATGAAGCTTACAAATGTTGTCAACAAAAACTTGAGCTATTTGTGAGGCCGAATAAGGATGAGTAAGTGCAAAGAAATGGGAATACTTGGTGTACCTATCAATCACAACCAAGATCATTTCCTTCCCCTGGGATTTAGGTAAGCCCTCGATAAAGTCCATAGCAAGATGTTCCCAAGCTTTGTCTGGTAATGGTAATGGCTGGAGCAGGCCTGGGTAGGCCACCTGTTCTCCTTTATTCCTTTGGCAAACTTCACACGTTTGAACATAGCTTTTGACATCCTTAGCTAATGAAGGCTAGTGAAACAATGCCCTAAGTCTCTGTTGAGTAGCGTAAATTCCAGAATGCCCACCCCAAGAAGTATCATGCATAGAATGGATCAGCTTCCCTCTAAGTTCTCCCTGATTGCCCACCCAAACCTTACCATTGAAACGTATAATCCCTTGTTGCAGAGTAAAATTTGGCAAGGCATTAGGATCTACTTGTAATTTAGTCAGCATCTTTTGGGCCTCCTCATCATTATTATAACTATTAAGAACTTCTTGAACCCATGCAGGCTGCACAACTGTAAGCCCATTACAGATAGCCTGGGTTTCGAACCTTCTTGAGAGAGAGCATCAGCAGCTAAGTTTTCAACCCCTTTTTTGTATTGGATTTCGTAGCTTAGGCCCAAAAGCTTAATAATCCCTTTCTGTTGTAAGGATATAGTAATACGCTGCTCACTCAAATATTTCAAGCTAAAGTGATCAGTTTTGATCACAAAATGATTTGATTGCAAGTAATGGCGCCACTTTTCCACTGCCATCAAAAGAGCAATTAATTCTTTCTCATAAGTGGAAAGTCCCAAATGTCGAGGACTAAGGGCCTGACTCAAGAATGCAATAGGTCTGCCATTTTGGGAAAGCACAGCCCCAACTCCCAATCCAGATGTGTCTACTTCAACGACAAAAGGCTCACTGAAGTTTGGCAATGCAAGAACAGGGGCTTGGGTCATCACAGTCTTCAACTCTTCAAAGGATTTAGTAGCATTTTCGTTCCATTCAAAGGCTCCTTTCAAGAGTAAATGAGTCAAAGGCCGACTGATTAAAGCAAAGTTCTTAATGAACCTTCGATAGTAGCCCGTTAATCCCAAAAAACCCCTTAACTCTTTGATAGACTTGGGCGGAGGCCTGTTAATCATAGCTGCTACCTTGGCCCTATCTGTTCTCACCCCTTTACCAGAAATAACATGGCCCAGATACTCTATACTGGCCTGAGCAAACCTGCACTTTGATTGTTTAGTAAATAACCTGTTAGCCCTCAGGACATCAAACACAATTTGTAGATGATTCACATGATCTTCCAGTGACACACTATAAATTAATATGTCATCGAAGAAGACTAAAACAAACTTCCGCAAATATGGGCTAAAAACAGTGTGCATAAGGGCTTGAAATGTTGCCGGTGCATTTGTTAGTCCAAAAGGCATCACTCTAAACTCCCATAACCCATGGTGAGTTTTAAAAGTAGTTTTATACTCATCCCCTTACTTCATACGTACTTGGTGATAGCCTGAACGAAGGTCCAATTTAGAGTAATACTGAGCTCCCGACAATTCGTCCAATAAGTCCTCAACCACTGGTATTGGGTACTTATTCTTAATTGTGGCCTCATTTAGCTTCCTATAATCCACACACATGCGCCAAGTATCATCTTTTTTCTTAACAAGAATGACTGGCGAGGCAAAGGGTGACGAACTAGGGGTGACTGTTTGAGCTTCCAGCATCTCATTAACTATTTTCTCAATGGCATTCTTTTGTTCAAAAGAATACCTATACGGCCTCAAATTAACTGGTTTAGTTCCAGGAACTAACACAACTGAATGATCACAATCCCTAGAAGGGGGCAGTTCTGTGGGCTCCTTGAAAATGTCATCATAGTTTTGAATTAATTCCTCCACCGGAATTGGCATCTGCACCACCTCTTTGTTGTCCTCCAAAGAGCACCACAATCCCACATAATTATCAATCCCTTCACTTAGTAATTTGTGGAATGCCTTGGCCGCCACCTCAACATCACTGAAAGAGTTCTGATTGCCTAACAAGGTAATCAGCTTAGCATCCTTTATAAAAGAAATGCTGCGAGGCCTGGTATACAGTAAAATTGGTGAACATGAATCCAACCAATCCATCCCCAACACAATGTCACAACCTCCAGCTCTTAATACTCTAAGATCAAATTCAAAGAGTTCACCCTGTATCTCCCATTTAAAACCTCTACAAATCTGCTCACACCTCATAGTTTGCCTGTTTGCTACTCGAACAATCATGCTCCTTTTGATGGGCTCGGCCGTTAAACCCAAGTGCTTAATTAGCCAAGGATCCACGAAACTATGAGTTGCTCCACTATCTATTAACACTGTAACAGGCTTCTTTTTTACCATTCCCGAGATTCGGATAGTAGTATGACGAGAATTAGAATGACCCCACATGGTATTTATTACTGCCTCTTCAGGGGTCTCCTCTTCAGGACCTCCTGTCTCAACTGGATCTCCCTGGGCTTCGAAAAATTCTTCTTCTTCTGACCCCTCCAGACAATTCAATGCCTTGGTCTGGCACTGATGTCCCGGGAAATACCTCTCCTTACATCGAAAACATAACTTCTTCTCCCGTAACTGCTCTAAGGTTTGATTTCTAGAGGTTGAGGCCCTAGTGTTTATAGGAGGAATGGCCTTTAAGGGTGTGTTATGAGAGGTGTTGTGAGGGGTATTAGTGATGGCTAAAGGAGCATTGTGAGGAGTATTTGTGATGGATAAGGGGGCATGAGTATTGGATCGAGGGCTTGGAGGAAAGGTGATTCTAGGCTGTGACGATGAAGATCTGGGCTGAAGGTTCCTATAAATTGAAGCAAGGGTCTTCTCGTATAACTTAGCAATTTTAAAAGTTGCTAACATAGTTTGAGGATCGGAAGCCCTCACCATTGATTGTAAATCAGGTTTCAATCCTCCAATAAAATAGTAAACAAAATAAATTTCAGTGAGTGTGGGATTGATCAGTAACACATAGAAACGCATTTCTTCAAACTTGTTGAAGAAACTCTCAACATCGGCCCACTGTTGTAGCCTATTAAATTCCATAACCACGTCCATCGGCCTTATGTTACCATACCTACGACAAACATCCAAGCAAAAATTTTTCCAAGTTACTAAACCCCCATTCTCCATGACATACACATCAAACCAAGTGTCCAATTTATCTTTAATGTGTATAGCAACATAGGACATCCTGGATTCTGGAGCAATTTGGTACAACTCAAAAAATCTTCTTAACCACCCACGAGGATTATTGGTGCCAAACTCAGGAAAAGCCAATTTAATTTTGGGAAATTTGTTTTGACTATGATTGTTGGCAGGTGTCAGGATATTGGGTTGAAAACTGGGTTGTACAATGGCTTGAAACAAAGAACCCGACCCTGGATTTTGGTGAGCATAAGGTTGGTTATAGGTTGAGTTTACAGGAGCTGCAGCAACAGAGGGTTGAAGTCGGTAGTTAAGCTGAGGTGTGGAGAAACTGGTGTGTATTGTGGGTTGAGCAAAAGAAGGAGGAGAGAAGTAGTTCATTGTGGTGGTGCTAGGTTGGAAAAGTGAAACAGGTGCTGGAGGATATAAAGAAGTGGGTGTATAGTGTGTTATAGGGATGGGAGCAGAGAAATTTGAAGGATTGAAGGGAGCTAACGATGTTGACATTACCCGACTGACTTGAGGAAGCATCGAGGTGTGTACACTCGCCGGAGTGACAGGGGATGAAATTGGCTTTTGACGTCCAACAACAGAGGACTCTCCCTTGTCCCCAATAGAACCTCCACCTTCCATGGCTAGTCGGGAACGCGCAGATACAACTGATTCTCCTCTTTGCTCACCGTCCAAATGACCAAGCAGCGCTTCAAAATGACGATTGCTTTCTGCTTGTCGTTGAGTTGCTTCCGAGCTGATCCTAGCTTCATTCAATTCGATCTGTTCTAGACGTTTCTGATTTTCTCCCATGTAAGCTTGAAGCTGAGCTTCAATACGCTTCCACCCTTCATCGGTTTCTTTGAATTCTGGAGTTTCTACCATGATTGGAACTCACAGCCGCCGGAACGCCGGCTCTGATACCACTATTGTAACGAACAGAACAAGAAGAAAAGGAATAAAAGTTTAACAAGGAAAAGGATAAAATTTTGGTAATTCCAATGATAGTAAATTCTGTTACAGCCCAGAATCTAAATAGGCAACGTTCCTATTGAACAACTGTCCTTAATTTCTACAGACCAAAAACCTTCTAGAATAAAGCCACGTGGCTATTAATTGCAAACCTGTCCCTAGGGACTTAATTGAAATAAACTAAACTTACAGACCAGAATAGAGATACCATGACTCTAATAAAAATAGACGACCAACTGCTCACTTCTATTTACTATATTTGACTGCTTGTTCGTTACAGGTGATAAGGCAGGACATGATATATCTGCAGCTTACCGAACACATGACCGTTGATAGAAGGGTATGGAGGTCGAGAATTAGGGTAGAAAGTTAGTAGGTAGTCGAGCGTATTTCTTTTGCATACCTATAGTATCAATATTATTCCCGTACTTCCTTATACTATTATTTCTTTTGATTTGATTATCTTATTACGTTGTTGTTGTTACTGTTTCTTTTTTCATAACTTGTCTATTACTGCATCTCTTTTAAAAAATGATGCGACTACGCTTTTTAACCTCTCTATCTTAAGTGGTAAGATCTGCATCCACATTATCTCCCTAGACCCCACTTATGGGATTATGATGAGTTTGTTGTCGTTATTTGTTGTTATAATTAGGGAGTGGTACTGACATTTTGTCACGATCAAAATTCCATGATCGGCACTTCAATTTGGTTTCATGACCGGCTCTCGTCTAACATTAATTCCCACCGAGCGAACGCTTAATTGCATTCTAAGGCGATGAACATCGGACGTAATACTAACATGATTCATAATAAAGAGTGAGATAACTACATAAATCCCAAAATATGCAAATAAAATCCAAATGCGAAATAAACATAGCGTTTGAATTCTCATAAACAGAGTACATGGAGTAAGAATTAATTAGGAGATGTCCGATAACTTAAAAGCAACAAAATTAAAAAGTACTTGGAGCATCTACGAGTAATACGTACTAACTAGGACATGTTTGATAACATAAAAACAATAAAAAGTAAATAAGCATCGCTGCCAGGGTAGAAGGAGGTTGTAGTAAAAGAGAGGGGTTAAAAGTAGTTAGATCTAAAATGATTAATTTGGTAACAGATCAAGTAAATGGAGACGGAAATACTACGTGATTTCTTTCTATTTATCCAAGCCTAATAATATTTCGTAGAATTAATCAAGGTGCATGTTAAAAAAAAAAGAAATTTTGGTTACAAATTTCTCTAGTAAACAGAAAGGTGTTAGGAAAGTTAATGTCTCAAGGTCCTAAAATATGTAGTATAAATTCCTAAATTGGCTGTCATACCCTTTAAAATGCTGAATTGTATGATCTCTCTTTGTTGTGCATGTAATCTTTGTGGTCTGTGTATTGTTATTATGGTCACATGCACCACATTAACATCTCTTTTAGAGATTCTCACATTATTGATTTCATCCTTTATTGTTTACTAATTTGTCAGCGAAGCAAGGCGGCCATGAGAATGAGATAATAGAAACAAAAAAAAGGAAGAGGACAAGCTACATATGTGCCTCACCATTTCAACGTGTTGGGACTTTTTCTCCTCTCTTTCTTTTTGGACTTTATTAATTTGTTTATGTTTTGTTTTTTAAGAGAAAAGATTCAAATTTGCTTATGTATTATCTGCATTTGTTCAATTTTTTCCTCTATTATTTTTTTGTTCATTCATACTGTTGCCGTAACACACAATCTTGTAATTGCGTTTATCATATGGAGTTCCAACGTAAAATGAGTGAAAAAAAAGTTTATATTTATCACTCAACTTTTGGTTATAGCTTAAAACTACCCTCTTGTTGGTAAATAAACCAAAAGTTTAATAGAGGGTAAAATTGTTCTAGTTCGATTAGTGTATGGGCAAATTTAACCTGTTTTCGGTGTCCCTCGTTGATATACATGGAAAAGTGGGGTTATAGTACGCAAAAAACGTTTCTTATATTTATTCATCTTTTCCTCCTTTCATCTCCTAACACCAATTACTTTGATGACAGTAAAAGAGAAGACGGAGAGACGGGAAAGGATTAACAAAGTATTAAAATTTGTAATGGGTACTCCTAATTTTAGATGAGATGGACTATTATAATGAATTTAAACATTTTAAATGTTACTTATTTCTTTGCAGAGAGAATGAATGTGGTTTATAGTAACACTGGATTTTAATTAATGAGGAAATAGTTTGTGACAAGATTGTGAATAGGATTAATAATAGAGCATTATTTAATCCAGGAAATTGTTCAAACCCATTCCATC